AAAGTCATCAAAATGTTTCATTTTTTTTAGTAATGCTATAGTATAAGTTGTTCTGCTGGTTCTACTCAATTCACTCTGCATCAGTAAATCTTTCCCTGTCTTTTTGAAATCATCTATTTCCTCATTTCTTATGGAATGTATCCCCTCAGCCCCAGAATCATTATCTCTACCTCTTGCCTTTCCTGGTTTCCTTCACAAAGTCGCAGCTGAAATCCTACCATCTGTCAGTAGCCTTTCCTGGTCTCCCTTAATTCTAGTGCCTTCCCTTTGATTACCTACAATTGATCCCATCTAGCTATCTGTCTGTCTGTCTGTCTGTCTCCTTTGTAGATAGCATCTTTCATGCTGTCTCCCCACACCTCCCATCTCTCATTCCTTATACTCTGGGCTCCTTGGGAGCAGGGGCTATTTTTGCCTTTCTTTGTATCTCTAGCACTTAGCATGGTGCTTGGCACGTAGTATATGCTTAATAAACATTGATTGATAGACTTGATCTACTTACCTTTCCAGCGCGTATTATTTCATATAATTTTCCCTTCATGCACTCTTTATTCTGGCCAAACTGGTCTGCTTTTACTCTAGCTGCCTTTAAATTCCTCTTCAGGGGCTACCTTATACCTAAGATCTTCCGCAGTACCGCTAGCTGTTAGTGCTTCCTCATTCTTGAAATTACTTTGTGTTACTGTGCATTTACTTATCTGTGTACAGGTGACATCTTCAAAGTGGCCTGTAAGCTTTAATTTTTGTTTTCTGTTTGCATTAGTAGGCACATCTTATACACAGTAGGTACTTAAATGTTTGAATAGCTTAATTGAATAATTAATTAAACATTAATTGTCCTTAATTGAATAGTTAAAGTTTACACAAGGGTGAGAAAAGTAGTCAAAACATTCCTATCCCCTTTTTAAAGATTAGCAGACTGAGTTGCTCATGTTTGGCTACAGGACTAACAGGCAAGATTCAGACCCAGGTCTGATGACTTCCTTAAGTCCTGAACTCTTTCTAATGTGCCTGATACCTCTATGGCTGATAGGGACAAGTAGGTAGCACAGATGAGAGGACTTGGTAGCTGGAGTCAGAATCTTGCTTCAGGTACTTAATAGATTTGTGACTCTGGGCAAATCACTTATCTTCTCTCTCAGATTCAGTTTCCTCATGTGTAAGATAGAAATAATGAGCTCAGCCTCATAGGTTGTTGTGAGGCTCAAATAAGCTAATATATACAAACTCAAAGTGCTCTATTGGAGAAGAAAATGGCGGACCAATCCAGTATCTTTGCCAAGAAAACTCCAGAAATGGGGTCATGAAGAGTAGGCCATTACTAAACAGCTTAAGAACAGCAACAAAATGCTAGCTATTATGGTAATTACTACAATTCTATAGCAGGCTGCCTCTCATAGGAACTACTCTGGTCACCTTAATTAATGCAGTTAATTAAATTAATTAGTTAATGCCAAATCAATGCAGTTTCTAAAAACTGCTTTATCCATAACCAGGGAGGACATTTAGTAATGGAAAGATCAGGAACCATATCCCAGGAGATTCTTTTCATGCCCATTTCAGACTTTTGAAATCTACGCACTCTTCAAGGACACCCAAGGGTTTCTCGTTACAGGTGAACAGAAGCATCTGAGTGAAGAGTGAAATGAGAAGTCAGCATATTGTTACTGACTTCTCCTGGCTCCTTGGGGATGATCACATGAAGCATCATTTCTGTTTTTAAATTTAAATTTAAATTTCCTAGCATTTCAAACAAGCTTTTCTTTGTGCAGCAACATGTACAGGGATTATCAAATAAAGTACTGGTAAAAGGAAGCAAAGGGCAGAAGGACAGAAGGGTAGGAAAACCCAGGGAGCCCCCAGCAGTATTATGCTTTCTATTAATACACTTTAAAATTTTTGCTCCTCTCACTTCTGGGTAAGCTATGCCTCTGTGCTCAAAGAACATCAATAGTTATAGTTACAAGGTTTTGAGAAACCCAGTAATACACAAACAAACAAAGATCCTTTTCCAATTAAAAAAAAATGCCAACTAGTGGAATTTTCAACCAGTCCTCTGCAGGCTTAATTGGTGTTACAGTCATCACAGAATCATCAAGCTGGAAGGAGCCTTGGAGATTGCCTCTCCTAATATCTTGATTTGATAGCTGAGAAAACTGACTTTCAGTTTTCTCAGCTGTAAAATGAGATGGTCAGATTATAGCTGGAAGGGACCTTAGAAATCATTTTAGGGATAAGGAAATGGAAACTAAGTGACTTGTCCAAAGTCACTTTGGACTTTAGATTTGACATAAATGTCTTGGGCATTCCAACATGGCTCCTTCCTATACATGCTCTGTGTTTCACTTGCTTGAACATGACCTTCTATCTCCTGTTCTGTGCCTTTGCGTTGGACTGTTAACACCAGAACCCCTTCCTTCAAAATTCAGCTCAAATCCTACTGCCTTGGGGAGGCCTTTCCAGGCTTCTCCCCAGGAAATACCTTTTCCTCTTGGATCTTCAAGATTTAAAAATAAAGACAAAAACAAAAATCAAGGGGGAAAAAAAACCACTTACTTTTTTGAACCTTCAAAACTTTTGTTGGGTCTTTGGCCCCCAGAAAATCCAAGAACTATATATATATATATATATTTAAAAAGCTATTTAAATATGTCTTGGAGGAAATAATAATAGCTAGCATTTATATAACACTTTAAGTCACCACAACTAAAGCTAAATGACTTGTCTATGGTTCATGCAGCTAGTGGGTGTCTGAGGAAGGATATGAACTTGGGTCTTTTTGACTCCAACTGTAGATCTCAGTTAATTTTTTTCGACACTTATCAGACTCTTCACTCCACAGAATGCTAGAGGTCATCCATCCAATGTGATACCTTCATAGGATTTGACAGATATGGACTCTGAGGCCTGGACAAGGGAAGTTAATTGTGTAGGGTCATATAACTAGTAAGTGTCAGGGTCAGGACTAGGTTAGGGGTGGGGATCTGGGAATGATGAGGGGAAACTAGTGATAACGATGCCCCCCCCCAAAAAAAAGAGTATTAAAGTATTTAGAAAAAATACATAGAAGAGAGGAAAGCTAGGAGTACTCTATGACAGTGCTGGGCCCAGAGTCAGGACCTGAATTCAAATTAAGCCTCATACACTTACAATCTGTGTGACTCAGGGTAATTTACTTAATCTGTTTGCCTCAGTCAATAAACATTTATTAAGCACTTACTATGTGCCAGGCCCTATGCTAAGCCCTTGGCATACTAGAAGAGGCAAAAAGACAGTTCCTGCTCTTCTTCATCTATAAAAGAGATACTAATATAACCTATTTCTCAGGGTTTATTGTGATGATGAAATGAAATAATCATTGTAAAGTGTTCGGCACATAGAAAGAACTATATAAATATGAGCAATTATTGTTAGCTATTAAGTGAACAGAAAGAAGTTCACAGGGAGACACAGACTGGCAGTGTGTAGGATGTAAAGACCCTTACCAATAAATTCTGGAGACTCAGATGTAGCAAAGAGAAAGATTTCTTTAATAGCTTTCTCGAGAAAGGGCACCCTTCATCCACCTAAAATGGCTCTGGTGGAAGAGTGCAAGGGTGTGTTCAGAAAAGAAAGATTATATAGGACCCCTAACCGCAACTCCCCCTCCCTAACCCCCTTCCTCTCAGCTCACTGGTACAAGGCTTGAGGGAACAATCTATTCTTGGAAATCTACCCAGCAACAGAGAACAGAAACAATTTCACAAGCTTGCCTGGAGACAAGGAAAGGGGGGAACTTTTGCAAGAGTGAGCAGTTTTAGAAGTGGGGAGGTGTTATTCCTCCCTGCTACATGCCTAAAAACAAGTTTGGGAAGGGGGAGGTCTGGTAAAGTACAGGATATGTTGAAAAGCATATTTCTTTACAAGGTCAACCAGCTGCAAATGTTTCAATGGAATAAGAAACTATTAATTCTTTGAGGAGGCTTCACTCCTCAGAGATCCTCACAGATCATCTCTCACAGCAGGACAGTTTTGAAATGAGCATACTGAATTTCTTAGGCAGTGGTGTCAGACCAAGTGAAGTTTTAAGTTTATTAAAATGTAATTAAGGATTACACATTTTAATTAAACTCATTAAAAATTAGAATTGCACTAAGAGTTTTGGGTCACCCTTGTAAAACAAAATTAAGCCACAAAGTTTTAAGTGTATTAAAGCTTAATTAAAGATTACACACTTCAGTTAAGATTACTAAAATTTAGAGTTGCACTAAGAGTTTTGGGACACCCCATATAACAAAATTCAGTTACAAAGTTTTCAGTGTTTTAAAGCTTAATAAAAGATTATATTTTAATTAAATTCATTAAAATTAGGAACTGCACTAAGATTTTTTTGAGACATCCCTGTATAACAAATTCAGTTACAAAGTTTTAAGTGTATTAAAGCTCAAAGATTATATTTTAATTAAGTTTATTAAAATTAGGAACTGCGCTGACTTCTTGGGACACACCTGTATAACAAATTCAGCCACAAAATTTTAAGTGCATTAAAGGTTAATTAAAGATGCTACTCTAATTAAGTGTATTAAAATTAGGAACTGCACTAAGACTTTTTGGGACACCCCTATATAACAAGATTCAGCCACAAAGTTTTCGGTGTCTTCAAGCTTAATTAAAGATGACACATTTTAGTTAATATCATTAGCATCTGGAGCCGGCGTTTAAGACTTTTGGGGGAGTTAAAAAGAGCGGCAGCCCAGAAATCCGCGGTTTCACAGAAGATGCTGTTGGCGTGCACTGTAAGGTCAAGTTCAGGTGAACAACAAGCAGCGCGCCGACGCTGAAATTCACCCCAGGTCGCGGCAGGGGTCGAACTGGCAACCCCCGCTGGGCTTCCCCCGCGCTCGTCCCGGGATGGCCGGCGGCGCATGCTAGGGCCTCAGTCCCCAGGACCGCCCCCTGCCCCGCCTCCTCGGAGGCTTTTCCCGCGCTCCGCGCCCCGCGCCCCGCCCCACCCCCGAGCGCGCGCACGGCTGCCTGCACTTGGCGGGACCCCCGGCCCGGGCCAGGAAGTTTGCAGCGGCCGCAGAAGTTGGCTTTGCGTGACGCGGCGGCGCGGGATGCAGCGCGAGCCGCCGCTGAGGGTCCGCTCCGGGAACCAGCAGTGGCCGGAGCCCGCCATGCAGCCGGCCGCAGGAGGGGGCAGCGGGGCCGGGGCTTGGGCCCACAGCCGCGCGGCGCTGGAGCAGCTGGAGACGCAGCTGCGCTGCTCGCGCTGGTAACTAACGCCGGTCCCTTCCCCTTCCCGTACCCGGGGCGGGGGGCGATGGGAGAAGTGCCTGCCCCACCCCCAGCTTGCCACGGGGCCCCGCGTCCGTGAGTGACCCCCCGGGAGCAGAGCCGCCCCGGGCCGGGACGGCGTGCCCGGAGGGTCCCCATACCCCAAAGAAACGCGTCGGGGGCTGCTCGTTTGTAGGCTCTACTGTTAGTGGTGTTGGCTTGCTTGACTACAAATAGAGTAGATAAAATTACTGAGTTTTATAGAGTTTTATTTCTTTTAGCTGGGCAAGCAGAAATAAATGAAAAAGGAACAAAGCATGACGTAAGAATGGCCATGGGGAAAGCATTAGAAGAAACCCGAGGGTCTTAGGGGCCCTCGGTAGTTCTTGGTTGCGCGACCAGTGCACGGTCCCTCGTCACTAGGGTAGGGGGTGGGGCTTAGCACGGCTGGTTGTTGATTGGGAGGGAAGGCTCTAGTGTTTCTGTTCCTGTGAAGTTTAGAGTGTTGCGTTTGAGTTTGAGAGTCGTGTGGGGACCCACCTTTTTGCTTCCATGCCATTGCCAGGGTTTCCAAGGCGTCCCTCCTTTGGACTTGTTTCTAACTTTTGGGTTAGAACAAATAAATAGTTTGGGGTCAGAATAAATTTAAAATGAAGTAAATTATAAAGGAAGTAGCAAATATAGTATAATCATATTGTATTTCTAAAAATATCACTATGATTTAGCAGTCTGTATAAAATAGCAATAAATCTGCTGCTTGTTTTTAAATGTGTTGATGTGTTCATGCCTTTTGGTTTTCAGATAAAAATTCAACACCACAAAAAATGTTGCACCAGAGAGAGAGGCTTTGTTTGTTGAAATAAGGATGATTTAACTTGGTTCCCCCCCCCCCCCCGCCTTGGCAGGTTTAGTTAATGTTAGTTCTGCTTAAATTTGCATGGAAAGATGAGGATTTTGATTCTGCCAACTGAGAATTGGAAACTAAAAACCCGACAGTGTTAGATGCGGTGATAATTGGAGAGAAAATAGTTCCTCAGAATACACACACAAACTTGTCTGTCTTTTCTGCGTTTATTGGGAGTGCATGGGGGCATGGCGGGGTTGGTTGAGAGCAGCCAGGTGTGTAAGGGTAGTCTGATTTAAAATCCTGAAATTTACTTTTCGCCAGTGTCTTCCTCTCTGCTCCTTATATCTGTTTACTAGACTGTAGAAAGGAAAAGACTTAAATTTTCTAGTGCTGCATCTTTTAAAAATGAGGAAACTGAGGCCTAGAGGCGGAGAGCCTTGCTCACACAGGTAGATAGATATAGCTAGATTAGATAGATAAATGAAAAATGATTAAGATGTAGCTAGATGTAGATAAGTGGTGCTGTGGTAATATAAATTCAAGCAGGACGTGAATGTGTTGTGATTTCTCTAAGAAATGATGAAGATGATGGCTATAAGAGAAGAATAGAGATATTTACGTAAACTAAAGCAGTCAACAGGCATTTATTAAGTACTTAATTAAGTGGATTGGCACCGAGTGGCTCAGTCAGGAGGACTCATCTTCCTGATTCAAATCTAGCCTCAAATATTTACTAGCTGTGTGACCCTGGGCAAGTCACTTAACCATGTTTGCCTCAGTTTCCTCATCTGAAAAATGAGCTGGAGAACGAGATGGCAAACCACTCTAGTGTCTCTGCCAAGAAAACTCTGAATGGAAACATGAAGAGTCTAACTGGACTTAAAAGGACTGAATGTCAACCACAAATAAAAATCAAACCTTTCAAGAGGAGCTTATGTTCTGATGAGGGAAGACCAGATAAAAGAGGGAGCCTGGTTTTCCAGTGGCTGAGTCCAAGTTTTTTTTTGGGAGAAGGGATATGAGGAATGTTGGCAGCAGGATGTGGAGATGTCTGGGGAGTGTCTTGTAGATTGACTAGAGACAAGATGAGGGCAAAGCTCATCATTCCAAGGTAGGCAGAGCTGGAGGTTTGCAGGGGGTGGAAAGTGCAGTTGATCTCTGGAGTACAGGTGGCATGGTGTGGGGATAACCAGGGGCGTTTCGTGGAGGCTTGTTTTGGTATTACAGGGGAAGGGTACATTGATATAGCACCTACTGTGTGCCAGGCACTGTGCTCATTTGATCTTCACACCACCCTGCAAGGTAGATGCTGTCAGGTGGACGGAACCAGCCTCCGACCAGTGGGATGCAGAGCAGAACAAAGCAGGCTAGAGACAGAAGAGTCAGGAATCAAACAGAAGTTTAATTTCAAAGTGAGGGAAATGCCTTGTAAATGAGGAGGGGAATTAGACACATGTGCTGGGTCTCTGCCCCTAACTGGGGGATCCAGTAGTGTGGCTAAAAGTCATTACTTATACCGGTGGTTGCTACGTGAGTGGTAGTCCTGACCATGAGGGCGAACAGCACCAATGAGACAGTCTGGTTCATAGCAGGGTTTGATGTCCGGTGCTTGTCTGAGCTCAGAGAACACCTGGTGCTGGTCAAAACAATACAATAATTGTGTGATTTTGCCAAAGGGTGAGATCATCCGGAGGGTGAGAGCAAAGGATTGTTGTTATGCCAAACTCAGGGCACAGCTTGCTTGCTGGACCTTAGCTCTAGAAAACCAGGTGTCTCCTAATAGTATCTTGTCAATTTAATTATTTATTATCCCCATTTTAAAGTTTGGAACCTTGGGCTTTAGATTTCAAATACATAATACATTGCTTCTAACTCAGTGGACAGGACTTGAGGCCTAAAGTAAAGGTAATTAGGCGAAAGGTGAAATTTCCCAAAGTTGGGGAGAAGGGCCTTCCTCTACCTCTCCCCTTACCTTCATGGGATACTGGAAATGAATAAAAAACACAAGTGTAAGCCCAGAGAGAATGATTAAGTGGCAAAATATTATCTCCATTGAAGCAGGAGTCTGGAGGATTCTTGAAGAAAGGTAATGTATCTCTGTCAGCCCCAAATACTAATTTGGTAAAGGAGGGGGAAGGAGACGTGGAATTTGGGAATGGGTCCCAGCTAACTAGACAAGTATGAATATTCACAAAAGTGGGGAATAGCAATTTTATAAGTTTACCAGCCACCCGGATGACGCAATGGATAGTTTAGTGGGTGGAATGCCTGGGCTTGGAGATATGATACTTTCGAGCTCTCTGAGTGACTGTGGGCAAATTGTCTACCCTCTCTGAACCTCACTTTGCTTATCTGTAAAATGGTCATAATAATACCTCCACTGGCTATCCTTTGGGGTTGTTGTGAGGCTCTGAGATGGTATATATATATAAAGTACTTTGTAAGCTAATGTAAAGTGTTATAGAAATCTTATTTTTCATTGTCCTGTAAAACCAAATGGGTGTAGAGGAAACAGGAGGGGATGGGATCGGGGGAGGATTGTTTATTCTGATTTTCACTCTACCTACTGTCTTGGGCTAGTCACTTTACTTCTGTGGTGGTAGTTTCCTCAAATGAAGAAGGGAGTGGGGTTGGACTAATTAGTTTCTGTGGGTTTTTTCTACTCAAAAATGGAATGATCCTATAAATTCTGGTCTTTGAATCCATAGTGACCTAGGAACTTCTTGGTGATTGGGTTTTCCTGGGGTCTTAACAACAGAAATGGAAGGTATTTGTTTAGCCATCAGTGAAGTCTTCCATTGTAAATAAGTACATTTGCTATTTTGACTTGTATGTTTTTGGAGTCTGGCTAACAGGAATCTGGCTCCCAGGTTTCAGACTGACCAGTGATGGAGTTCTGTAATGAAGCCCTCAAGCAGAATCAGCCCTTCAGCCCTTTTCTCCAAACAACCTAATGAATAAAGAAGGAAAAAAAGGACTTAAAAAGATTCCCCTCCAATTATATCATTTCCTAATGGCCAGCAGAAAGGAATGAGAAGGAGGAAGCCTAGATAATTTCCAAACTAGATAACAGATTTCTAGACCCTTTTGGTCAACAAGAATTTATTTGGTGCTGACTGTATACGAGGTCCTGTGCCAGGTACTGGAGGTACAAAGGTAATCCTGCCCCACATAGGACAGTTTGATAGTATATACTTAAAATCTACTTGGAAAATACTTTTTCAACTGGGAAGTTGGCTACAAAAAGCGTTACCCGGACAGAGATGCTTCTGTACTTTGGACAGCTCTGCCTCACTTAAATCCAGTTGACTCTAAAGTCAAGACATCAGCCTTGTGATGTTACAGGTCTTCTTATAGAATGTAGGATGAAAACAACAATAATGTTAATGGGGGGAGTGAGGGGGTGCCCTATGGATAGAGAGCCAAGCCTGGAGTTACGAAGTCCCAGGTTCAGATTTGACTTCAGACACTGTGTGATCCTAGGCAAGTCGCTTGACCTCTGTTTGCCTTACTTTCCTTATCTGTAAAATGGGAGGTAATAATAACACCTACCTTCCTGGGTTGTTGTGAGGATCAAATAATAATTTGGGATAATAATTGCAAGGCATTTAGTGTAGTGACAAGCACATTGTAGGTGATACAAAGATGATGGTGATGATGAAAGAGTCATCTTGGCACAGCTCAAATTAAGGCCCAAATTCTCAATCCTTTAGCTGGTTATTCTGAAGCCTGCCATTCTATAGTAACTTTGCAAAGATAATTACTTTTGTTTTTCCTTTTCCTTCCTTGACTTAAAAGCAAGCAAATAAAAACAAGCCAAAACTAATGAGAATGTAAAGAGGTTAGGTAGTAATAGTTGAGTGTTAGTGCTCAGCCTCTACTGGCATCCGCTGTGTGTTAGACTCTCCAGAGAGATCATACACATTTCAGTTCAGGGAACGTTTTTCCTGTCCCGCCTGGTGATTGCTTACTGGGGATTCAGAGATGGAATAGAACCATCCCTGACTTCAGGGATCTTTCATTCACGTAGTCTTCCTGAGTTCTTTACGTGTATTGCTTCACTTAGTTTTTATCAGTTTCCTGTGAAATAAGTATTGTTATCTCCATTATATTGGTGAAAAACTGAGGCTCCTGGAGCTTAATAAGCGAAG